ATTATATTACTGATGATGGGTTTGTTATTAAGGATGATATAAACACATCATATATTCAACAGGGTTTTGTTAAAGATAACTCGGTGTTTTTTTCCGATAATGAGCTTGTAATGGATGATTCTTCTTTTTCTTCTCAAAGTTTGCAATGTAATTCTATTTAATCAGTTTTAATAAACCGATTAAATCTTTTTCTACGTAAATTTTTTTTTTTTAAAAAAAAAAAATGGCAGTCTACCAGAAATATCAAAACGCATTCAAAAACTACCAATCGATTTTAAATTTAAACAGCGAATATTATTCGCTTTTAAATAGCTTTACTAAAGCAAAAAATTACGGTATTTCAATCGATTTAGATAAAGCTACAACTCAAATCGATTCTGCGCTCGATGTAAACACAAATCTTCTTATTCAACATAAGAAAATTATGGATGAAATCGAATCGACCCGAAAGGAATTTTCTCTTTGTATCTTGGTGAATCCTGCTCCAAACAACACTATTTTTTTAAATCGTCGCAATAATCCTGAAAAACATTATTACAATATGTATCAGTCGGTTGGTGGATTAGTCGAACCTAACGAAACATTCGAATCATGCGCTTTTAGAGAAGTTCGTGAAGAAGCTGGAATTGACATCAAGGAATTGAATTATATCTGTCAATACGAAGGATCTTGTGTTTTTCCTGGCAACACCGAAGAATCTTTATATAAAACTCTTGTCTATTTCTCGATTCTCGAATCTAACCAAATCCCGACTCAAACTGAACCAACTAAAAGTGATGAATGGATTAAATGTACTTTGACTGAATTTGAAAAAGGCCAATATATGTTAACGCCAACATTAGAAGTTAAAAAAAAGGAGATTGTTGAAACGATTAAAATCAAACTAACTCAACATAACAGGAAGAGAAAACGTATTAGCAAGGAGGAAAAAGAAGAAAAGGAGGAAGTGAATGGTGTCAATTTGGAATTGAATGGAGTCAATTCGGAAGTGAATGGAGTTTCGTCAGCTTCGAGTCCTGCGTAGTTTTAGTTTCTTGTTTTTTTTATCATTTGTTTTGTCATTTTGTTTTTTTAATAAAAATAAATACTCTGTTCAGTGCTTTACCGAACAGATTTTTAACCACGTAATCTGAAATGACCGAAAAAAAGGTAGGTTGGATGTTCTAAACTACTTTGTATTTGTGAATTCGAATTTACGCTGTCCTCAGAGTTATAGGAATATATTCTGAATTCTTCATGATGAGAATATATTCTATTATTTCTTGAGAAACTGATATCGAAATCAAAGTTATATCTTTGAAATGTCGATACTGCAAATATGGATGAAGAGAATTTTCGTACTTATATCATTTTTATTTATTGTAGATATCAAATTACAAATCTGGACACGATTTCGAGCCAATTATCCGAAAAATAGCTGAAGCGAATGGATTATTAGCTAGCGAAATCAAAGTAACTCAAGGTGATAATGGTATTGATATCATTGCGACATATAAAAAAAACTCATTCTTATTCAATGTAAGAATGTTGAAACACCCATAATTGTTCAGATTGTAAGGATTTTTGAATCAGCGATCTCTAGATTTCCTTCAGATTCTCTTGGTCTTATCGTTTATAACAGTGAAAAATTAAACGAAAAATTCGCAAGCCCTAAAGCTTTACATTGGGCAACCACATCATCAAAGAATATTAAAATTTGTAATGAAAAAGGGTTTGTAGGAATTATCAAAGAATTTTTCGAATATGATAACGATGATCAAATTGAATTAATCGATTATCAAGCTGATTCTTTTGATATAGTTGATTTAATTGGGAAAAATGTTTCTATAGGCAAGATTATTATTCGGAAAAATAGAAATATACATAGAACTGTTCCATATAATTTAAACAAATAGTAATCTATTTAGTCCTTTGATCGAATAGATTTTTTTCTACGTAAACTCAAAATGTCATCAAACTGGCAATCAAAATTCAAAATCTTTAAACCAGCTTTAAATTGGGAGCAAGTGATGAATCCTTTAAAGCCAAAACACAAGCTAAACAAATATCGAATTGTTAACATAAACAACAAACTCTATTATGAGGTTTCTACTCAAAAGCCTGAAATCACCTTTCTAATCGATATCAAGAATTTCCACCTCCTGAAAAACTATACTTGGTATTGTCATAAAGATAAAAATATATATTATATCCATACAGAATATAAAGGAAAAATTTTAAAAATTCATCGTTTGATTCGTCCGAAATGGAATATGGTTGATCATGTGAATCGTTGTGGATTAGATAATCGTAAAATTAATTTACGAGAAACAAACAAAAGAGAAAATACATTGAATTGTAAATTATATAAAAATAATAAATCTGGTTATAATGGAATTAATTTTGATAAATCTAGAAATAGTTGGTATTTTCAATGGAATGAAAATAACAAACGTAAAAATAAAAGGTTTAAAATCACAAAGGATAGATCATCTGAGCAAGCCAAACAATTTGCAATAGATTTTAAATTGGCTCATGATAAGAACACTGGCAATCAAAATGGGTATCCTGCAGCTTATCAATAAACATCTACTCAGTCATTCAGACCGAGTAGATCTTAATTTAGTCAATTTCTTTTAACAATGTTAAAATTTGTTATTAATAAAATTACCGAGTTAAAATGGCAAAACCTATTTATTTTTCTTATTTTTACTATTTTTATTTATCTTATTATTATTTCTTTTATTTTTATTTACACCAATTTGAACAAGAAACCTAAAATCAT